TTTGTATCCTTGCTCCCATGATCTCGGAGTGAGACCGCGAGTGTGGTTAGTCTCCGGTAGAGCTCACGAGGTTCTTCACCTTCATTCATAGCAAATTCATTGGCTTCATCTTGCACCACTTCATAGTTGGAGCGTTGAATACTTGCGCTTCCCTTGTAAAGGGAAACAACATGGTGCCATGCTTCCTTTGCCATGGTGAATGGTTGGAGATGCGCAATATCTTAGGGAGGGATTGCATCTTGGATGAAGAAGAGAGCATTCTCATTGAATTGATGGTTTGCGGCTTCTCTTGGGATGAAGTTGCTTGGGTCATGCGGATAGAAACCTTGCTCAATGATTCTCCAAAGGTTAGTATTAACATGATTTAAATGACGTTTAAAGCGATAGACCCAAGCGTCAAAATCCTCATTTTTCACAATCTTAGGAGGAGAACTGGCATGATTTAAATGAGTGGAGGGAATAGGTCCTCCATAGGTAAGTGGAGGTTCCACATGGGCAAATATGCCATTTCCACTTTTACCACCAGAAAAAGGAACTTTATCACTAGAAGCTTCCCCCTTGTCGGAGTTAGCAACCGTCACCTTGTTAGTGGGATCAACTACTTCCAATGGTGCGGTGGACAATTAAGACCATCAAGAGAATCCTTAAGCACGCCTTTGACCTCGGCCGTCATGGAGGTTTTAAATGTGTCCAAGGCCACATTGAGCTCCTCACGTGAGACCGAGGTTCCCTCATTGGCCGTAGACGAGGACGGAATCACACCGGGGTGCTCCTCCTCACTGTCTACGGTGTCAACCATGCTCTTCAGACGACAAAGTCCTTAATAAAGAGACGAGGCTCTGATACCAATTGGAAGGATCGATATAGTTGACTAGAAGGGGGGTGAATAGGCAACTTACAATTTTTAGCTTTTATTTACCAATTTATAAACTTTGCATCAAAGTAGGTTGTCTAGATATGCAACTAGGTGAGCAACCTATATGATGCAACAACAATAAGTACACAAGCAAGCAAGGGATGTAACACAAGATAAGCTTTCACGAGTAAAGGGATGAGATAACCAAGAGTGGAGTCGGTGAAGACGAGGATGTGTTACCGAAGTTCCTTCCCTTTGAGAGGAAGTACGTCTCCGTTGGAGCAGTGTGGAGGCACAATGCTCCCCGAGAAGCCACTAGGGCCACCGTATTCTCCTCACGCCCTCACACAATGCGAGATGTCGTGATTCCACTATTGGTGCCCTTGAAGGCGGCGACCGAACCTTTACAAACAAGGTTGGGGTAATCTCCACAACTTAATTGGAGGCTCCCAACAACACCACGAAGCTTCACCACAATGGAGTATGGCTCCGTGATGACCTCAACCGTCTAGGGTGCTCAAACACCCAAGAGTAACAAGATCCGCGAGGGATTAGTGGGGGGAATCAAATATCTCTTGGTGGATGTGTAGATCTAGGCCTTCTCAACCAATCCCTAGGAGATCAACAAGTTTGATTGGCTAGGGAGAGAGATCGGGCGAAAATGGAGCTTAGAGCAACAATGGAGCTTGGGGGTGGAAGAGGTAAGTCAACTCGGAGAAAAAGACTCCCCTTTTATAGTGGAAGAACAAATCCAACTGTTATCCACCAACTCAGCCTGCGACGCACGGTACTACCACACCGGAGACAAGTTACTACCGCCAGGGCCCACGATACTACCGCAAGGCACTGCAGTGCTACCACCCACGCAGCAGTATCCAAAACAGCCCTGATGCGATGAAGCAGAGGGCGATAGAACGCTGGCGCGGTACTACCGCTCCCCCTTGCGGTACTACCGCAAGGCAGGGATAGTTTAGATTTGGGAAGGCACAGACATATAAAAATACATCCGTGGCAACTTCCGCTGAGTTTAGATCTATGCAAAAATCCGACACGATAGTACCGAAAGCCAGGAGCGGTACTACCGCGTAGGGCGCGGATGTAAAAAATTACATCCTCCCCTACTTCCGCTCGTGCTGCTGAGCCAGACCGGAGGCCATGGTACTACCGCGTCAGAGAAGCGGTACTACCGCGAGCACCTACGGTACTACCGCGCCCAAGGCCGGTACTACCGCAGGGGCCTGCGGTACTACTGCTCTGAGGAGCAGTACTACCACATGCCCCAGTTCACCAACACTCGAAGTCAATCATTTTGCAGAGATTCGGAGAAACGGAGAATGCTCCAAAGAGCCAAAGGAAAGGTGGTGCAAAAGGAACAGACGTGTACGTGTTGATTTCACCCAAACCTTTCCAACTCGGACCCCCTCTTAATAGTACGGCTTTCCTACGACTCAAACCACCGAAAAGAAACATAGAGAAAACGCCGTCTTCAATAGTCTTCGAGGGGCACCAAATCGTCTTGTCCCTAGACATGATATATCTGAAATGCTCAATGCACACGATTAGTCCGCAATAGCATTGTTATCAATCACCAAAACTTCTAAGGGATAAATGTGCCCTTACACTTATTATATTTAATCATTCTCTCAAGATCTTGATCCTTCATAAACCAACTCATAAATCCAAGCATGACAATGTTTGAGTTCCTCCATTGAACTCCAATTTGATCACATCCTGTACATCACATGGACTTCATATTGATCATACTTGATTCAATCATAGAGCTTAATCTTGATGCCTCGAACTCCACTTATTTTGCTTCTTCTTGATCTTCATCACTAGAACTCAATGATCTTGGTGCACATCTTGATGTTGATGGCATTCATTCTAACTCCACACAATCTTCTTCATACATTTGCCTATGAAACTCTCCTTCAAATACATCTCAATGAAACAAATTAGTCCATAGAGATTGTTATTAATTACCAAAACCACACATTGGGACTTCACCAATCTGGTCCATAGAAGTCCAAGCAAGTCTTCGCGGTGAGCAAGTTAAATGAAGAAGGGTAAATAAAAGAACAAGTCAAAGATGGATGCAAAAAGAAGCCCAATCCCCAGAAGAAGGCCTCCATATAGTGGAGGGAATCCCCTCCTAGCCCAAGTAGAAGCCAGTGAACTAAGGGACCAGATATTACTTAGTTCTATTGTCCCATCTTGTCATCTCAAGGATAGCCTTGATCATTTGTCAAAGGACCCGTATGATATAAATAGCCCTGCATGGGCATGCAGCACATTCACTCCCACTTGAATAAACTCAAGAGAGTCACCCCTAGAGCCAAGGTTCCACCGTAGGCTGGGCCAATTGTCACTTTCAAGCACAAGCCGTGCAAGACTTAATTGAAAGAACATCATACGCTACTTCAACGTCCCTAAAGAGAAAACTATGGATTATGGGATCTAATTTGACACACTATCATTTCAGGAGTTCTATGACTCAATTGAGACCCATGCACTTTGCCTTCGTTGCCTACCCCAAAAGCAACAACCTTGTTGAAAGAGTAAATGGGTTCATCCTTAAGGGCTCCACATAAACAATGTCAAGCGCAAAGGAAGATGGGCAGACCAGCTACTCAGTGTATTCTAGGGCCTGCGAACTACCACCGACCACTCCACGGGCCAAACGCAGTTTGCCCTTGTTTACGACGCCAAAGTTGTTCCCTTGGCAAAACTCGGATATTGCTCTTTCCGCATGGGGAGTCTTCGCAAAGCAATGCCTCCAAATCACGAGTTGAACAACAACTTGCCAAGACGAGCTCCACCTAACCAAGATTTCTCACAACAAAGCTTTGGTAAAGCACGTCGCTTACAAGTAGAGCGCTACACGCTTCTACAACTCTCGAGTGAGGCCACGAGCTTTCCTCCAAGGAGACCTCGTCCTCAAGAAGGTTCTCAACCTCAAGCTTCAAGGAAAGATACAAACCAAGTGGGACGACATACCACATCTCCACCATACTAGGCATATCGCCTCGCCAACATGCAAGGTCATCTCAGCCATGCCTGGAACAGTGACAAGCTCTATATGTTCTATGCTTGAGCCCCTAAAAAAACGCATAGGCATGGCATGTATCCTCCTTTCTCACAAACTTGAGAATTCGATGGATATCTTAAAAATCCTCAAGGGCCATTCACATCAATATATCTCATATCAGTATCACAATCTAGATCTCCGCCACAATTAAGCGGCACCCTACAATAGAGCATGCCCCCAAAACCCTTATGCTAAGCCAAGAAGGATGTCACTAACTAAAGGTCTCCTCGTGAAGGGATGATCCGGGACGAAAGCAGATGTGTAGGGTGTGAACACTACGAGTGGCTCAAGGATGCACCCAAGTCAACCAAATGAGCCCTCCTCCTAACCATCCAACCACAAGTTGGTTCTAAAAGAAAACTACATCCATTCCTCCGACAAGTATTTCCGGACGGAGTGAGTATATGTTTATGCTTACAAAAACAGCTTTATTTTACTCAAAAAATAGCAGCTTTATTAGTTATTAAACTTGTGTTGTTTAGGAAGGCGCAAAACCCACCTTTTCATTTTTAGAAAAATAAGAAGCACATAAACAACACACACTTGCATGCCTATTTTCATTAAAAAAATAACGCTCAAAAATAAAAATAAAATATCCATGAGCTGCACGTTTAATGAACTTTGTACACAAGGTAAAAGGAGCTCAATGCATGCTCAACGGGTCATCATACTATATAAACGTTGATTATTGCAACAAAATCCAGAGGCCTGAAGGCTGAAGGTGAGTCTTAGATACCAACAAAACACCACACCGCGCACATCTCCAGACAGGCTACGCGAACAAAAACAGCCCCTTGGTTTTGGAGCAATCATTTACTGTGCGTGAGAATATCTCCAGAATAGACTCCACCATCATAATTTTGCATCTAAAAGGAACCGTTTCCTAGAGACTGGAGTTACTCAAAAAATTTGGCTACGAAATGTCGACGTATCAGCACGCCAAGCCATACTATTTGTGCCAGCTAACAGCGCTAGATTGACAATAAAATATACCCTTACTGGAATTGCAGGGGGAGAAAAAAAAAACATCCAAGGCCAGCAGGAGAACTGATGAAATCACCACAAACGAGGGAGAGAGTCTGCCCTGATGATCTCCTTGAGAAGAGCCTTCTCCTCATTGATTTTGTTCTTCTCAGCAGCGTCACGTGGTTTGCTCTTCCGCTTCTCTTCCAGCATCCACTTGTAGACCTGGCGCTGCTCATCTTCGGATAAAGGTGGGAGTACTCTTTTCGGCGGAGGAGCAGGCTCTGCAGGCTTAGCAACTGCAACAGGTGGGGCTGACAATGCTGCTGCAGCTGCTGCTGCTGCTGCGGTCTCAGCATTTTTCTTGTCCTGGTCTCGTTTGTAGGTCTTTGCAAATACATAAACTGCATGTTACAAGGATGTCAACTTACTGAAAGATGTGGGTAAACATCAGATAGAACAATAGTAAACCATACCGTGCACCAGTTTCAATCATAATGCAGAAGGCATACCTACATGGATTGACTACGGTAAGTTCTTTAGCGCACCTCGGTATAAACTAGGTCCTTGAATTATTAAGTGAAATTGTGACCAAGGCACATAAAAGAGAAAATGATGGGAGTGCAATGACAAAAATACCTTCAACAGAAAATTAGTATGTATGTATGTATCATATAGCAAGCTCAACTAATACTTGCCTTAGGAGCGGCATTTGGTTATCAGTGGGCCTTCACAGGCATGAGCCAACTGAACAGTAGCAACAGCACTAAATAATGATGTAGTAGTGGCAATGTTGTAGCATAGTGGCCATAAACTGGAAATGTGCAAGTTCTCAATAGACTTAGCCAAAACTCAATTTTATTTTTGCCTCCTTTACCACATATTTTCTCTCTTGTAACCAAAACAAACTGCAGCCTACTCAATGCATTATGTTTCTCTGCTGCAACCACAGTAATCCTTGCAAAGCTATGGGTTTCTGTTTCGAAAATAGAAGGGAAAACACCTGAAGGTTGCTACCAATTGTTTTGTGTTTTGATCGAAACAGAAATAATTTGTTTTGCACTTTCTTACCACATACTACATCCCTCATTTAATCTTGTCTTAAGTCAAAGATTTTAAGATTGACCAAGTTTATAGAAACAAATATCAATATCTAGAATACAAAATTAATATAACTACATCTGTGATGAAATATGTTTCCATAATGTATTTATTGTGTATTGTCGACGTAGATAATTTTTTAAAACGATAGAAATACGCATGTATACATGGAAGGAGTATTTTTCAAATCGTGATCATGTATCCTCAATGAAAAAAATAGCATGCTATAGCAAAATAGCGCCAGCCATAAATTCCGCTATTAGCATGCTATATCGCACTATAGCATTCTATTAGCGAGACATTGTACACTGATTTATTTAGCGAGCCATTCCTAGCACGCCATAGTGTGCTATTTTTTTCAGTGTGTATGCTACAGTATGTTCATTACTTTTAAGAGAAAATATATCCTGCCACAACTAAAAAAGGTAACGACAGCACTGTGCTTGTTGGCAATGTTGTAGCTGGCATAAATTGGAAATTTGCAAATTCTCAATAGAATTAACCAAAACTAAAATAATAATTGCCTATCTTGTACCACCTTGCAATGCTATGGATTTCTTATCCAAAACAAGGGGGGAAAGCCCTGAAGGTTGCTACCGACTGTTTTGCGCTTTCTTACCACATACTCCCTCCTTCCACTTATACCTATTAATCCTGTCTTAAGTCAAAACATTTCTAAGTTTGACCAAACTTATAGAAACAAATATCAACATCTAAACCATAAAATGAATATCACTTGATCTATCAAGAAATATATTTCCATAATCTATGTATTGTGTATTGTAAATGTTGATTCTTTGTTCATAAACTAGGTCAAACTTGGGACAATATTAATAGGCCTTGTATACATGGAATGATGCAGCATTTCGAAAATCATGACCATGTACGCTACAGTACCTTGCTTTAAGAGAAATATATCCTGCCACGGGTGAAAGGTACAACAGCTCTGTGCTCTAAATGATATACTAGTAGCGGCAATGTTGTAGCTACCATAAACTGGAAATTTGCAAATTCTCAACAAATTTAAGCAAAACTGATTTTTTTGCCTATATTGTACCACATCTTTTCTCTCTTGCCCCCTAACAAACTGTAGCCTATCAGCGTATTCTGTTTCTATTCTGCAACCAAGTAATCCTTGCGATGCTATGGGTTTCTATTTCCAAGACAGAGGGGAAAAACCCTGAAAGTTCCTACCGATCATTCTGTACTTTCTTACCACATAATTGTCAAATCATGAACATGTATGCTACAGTACTTTCCTTATATGTCCTGCCACCCGTGAAAAAGGCAAAGTCGTGATACAGATATGGGTTTATCTTTATAAAATAAATGCGACGTGGATCAGATCCCTGGAGTCTCACCATTCTGTAAGTAGAGTTCATCTCATTCTCACCTACGTATTACTTTCCTACCAAACAATAGAGTAAGCACATCTTGTTATAATTTTGATTATCACACCTAATTCAAAATAAATAGCAGGCATAAAGCTTCATATGTGTATTTTGGTTAAGGAAACACTAGAAGCAAACTGGGATGGCCCAGATGCACAATAATTAAGGACACGCAAGAGAGTTAGAGCTACTTCGCCGGCACAGACCACACCTTATCGTTTCTAGTAGCTAACAAGTAGAATTCACTGCGACCTATCAAGATTTAGTCTTTCCCAAGCCAATCTACACAGCGAAGAGCACCAAGAACCCTAAGCAGAGAGACTAGCAGAGTAGCAACTGAGACTGAACGAACCGTAGCGAGGTCAACGACACATTGTG